CAACCCCACACTCAAAAGCATCGACTCTTCTTCGGTGTTCCTTATTCATAGTCTAGCTCTCAGATACATATGAGTTGATTGAAAATACCATGGCTTGTGTCAGGTGCACCTCAGTCTTCCAGGAGACAGCTTTGCTCTTCAACACTTGAAAGAGGTCCTGCACAGCTGATTTGCACAGTGCTGTATGTCGTCTGACATCTCGACTGCTGTTTCCATTGGTGTTGATTGTAGAACCAAGTAACATGAAGTTCTTGACAACTTCAATCTTCCTAGTCCAGTTGTTAGGATTTTTGTTTTCTTTATATTGTGTGATCCATACCGCATGCTGTAGTCTTCAGTCTTCATCACTAAATGCTTCAAGTCATCCTCACTCTCAGCAAGCAAATTGTGTCATCTGTGTCTCACAGGTGAGGATGAATCTTCCTCCAATCCTGATGCCACATTCTTCTTTATATAAACCAGCTTCTCGGATTATTTGCTCAGCATCCAAATTGAATAAGGATACAAACCTGATGCACTCCCTTCCCGATTTTAAACCAGACAGTATCCCCTTGTTCTGTTCACACAACAGCCTCCTGGTCTATGTACAGGTTCCTCATGAGTATAATTGGAATTCCCATTCTTCTCAATGTTATCCACAATTTATTATATAATGCTTAGATTAGAAAATAAGAGAGGACTCGGATCCATGGTACCGTCTGCCAGTTTAAGGAACTGAAAGAAAGAAGAGCAAATTAACACCAGAGTGAGCAAAAAAATTAAATAATAAAAAGCAGAAATCAGTGAAGTGAAAAACAGAAGAGCAATGGGGAATGACAAGTGAAACCAAAAGTTGGTTCTTTGAAATACCATTTCAACATAATTTATAAGTTGATCAGGAAAACAAGAGTTAAAAAACGTGACAAATAGCAGGGAGGAAGTAGTGAACATAAGGAGATACATATATATGTGCATATGTATATATAAATCATCATCACACTGATCAGAGTCGGGTCACGTGGCCACACGGATCATCAAGGGAAGCTGAGGAGGTGAGCGTTGTTTTTTTCTGGCCTCCGCAGTGAAGGTAACGAAGGATAACATGGTTAGGAATATCCACTTGGTCATCCAAAAAATAGTATCAGGTTCTGTGAACAGCCGGGACTCAAACTCAGGTATCCTGGTCCCAGGTAAATGCTTCTCACAAACCAGGAACAGTAGTTTCTGGAAAGGAAAGGAAAGACACGTACTTGTTCATGTTTTTCAGTTACTGTTGACCAGTCAAGGGCCTTCTGAACACCATGGAGGACACAGAGGTCTATTTGATGTGCTGCCCTTGGTCGCTCCAGAAGCTCACTCTTGGTTAGATTTTGTAGTGAGATAGTCATCAAGTTCCCACCTGGAGTGACTTCACCAGATGAAGAAGTATGGAGGTAGGCAGAGCAGGGCTACTGTACCAGGGAGCCAGGCTCCCCACGCTGTTGTTCCAAACATCCTCAGTCTTGGGCTTTCATCCTCATGGGTATCTCATGGGATGTCCACCTATGTCCATCCCCTGTATTCACTGCCATGGAGTCCATTCTGACCCACAGCGCCCCTAGAGGACAGAGTGGAACTGTCCCCACAGGGTTTCCAAGGCTGTCAGTCTTCACAGAAGCAAAGCCCAAACCACACCCACTACCATGGAGTCCATTCTGACTCACAGCGCCCCTAGAGGACAGAGTGGAACTGCCCCCCAAAGGTTTTCCAAGGCTGTCAATTTTCA